TTCGCTTTTTTCCCTTCACGGCCGCTCTCCCTTTCGCACGCTCTCACGCTCTCTCTTTCTCTCCGTCTCTCTATTTCAACGTCTCCTTGAACCGTCACCAGCACCCACCCATCGGGGCCGAGCCACCCCCGACTTCAGCCTCTCGGAGGTAACGTGTATGTGTCACCTGCGTCTATAATCCTTACTCAACCACCCATCAACCGCATTCAAGCTCGTCGGATCGCCGAGTATAGGTGGAATACGTACGGTAGGCAGACTGGGCTAGGTCTGGGCTGGGCTGGGCTCGGCTCGGCTTGGTTATGTACCTACGTAATACCGCATGGTAGATACGTATATATATCCGCGAAGTGCCTAATTAAAACAGACACCAGGAGACAGAGAGAAAACGGGACGAGAGACGAGGCTGGTCGCATAATAGGGTGTAAGGGCGCGAGGGAGACGGCACTAGTTCCGTAGTCGGTTTGACAAAAAGCCCGAGTGCTAGAATTGCCACTCTTCGACCACCAAGTGCAGAGGAGAAGAGCAACGGTGAGCGAGAAGAAAGGAGAAGAAGCGAGAGGGAGAAACGGCGAGGAACAGAGAGAGACGGTGAACGTGGTGCCACCAGGAGGAAGATAGTGAGAGTAAGGGCTAGAGGGTGAGCCGCGGAGTCATTCATTATAGTATTGTATAATTAGGATAATAATAAGCTCTTCAGGGGCTTGGGTTTTCTTGCGCCCCGTTGCAACGGGGCGACGTTCCGTCGGAGCGAGAGAGAGAGAGAGAGAGAGAGTGTGAGTGAATGGGGTGGGGGGTAGAAAGCGACAGAGACGGGAACGGAGACAGAGGAAAAGAGCGTGATCCTCCTGGAGGGTGCTGATTATTAGCATCTAATTACGAGCTGCCTTTGCCACCGAAAAAAGAGAGAGACAGAGAGGGTGACGATGGCTAGAAAGGAGGCGAAGATGCGGGGTGTCTTCGAGGAGGGTATAATTAGCTCTTGCCGCGAACGGAAATCGTTACCTCGCGTTTTTCGCGATCCTTAGCGTTACGCGGAGATATTCTCTCTCTCGAGGGAGAGAACGGTGTTGCTCTAGAAGTATCCGTCCTTATTTCCCGCAATTTGTTCGTCCTTACCCGGGACTCGTTTCAACCGCACGTATCGTTTAATACGATTCGAACGCGTTTTACTTCTTTTTTTTTTTTTTCTAATTTAACGCGTGCACATTCGAGTGTCGAGATTTCAGGACGCGTTTCCATACCCTTTTCTTTTTGTTAATTTCGGTTGTAATATTGTTTTTTCACGGTCGCTCGCACTATGTACATTTCTACGTATATATTTGGGATCTTGAATGAATTTGTTGCTCACGTTGGAGGATTTTTCTCGAGTCGATTCTCTTCCGACCGTGCTTCTTTCACTGGTAAAGACAACAGGGTGTGTCGCGCGACACCCATAAATTCGTCAATTCCTTTTTCGTCACAGTGGCGCGCATTGTGGCGCAGGTGAAGCAACAATGCGAGCTTTGGAGGCGCCGCGTATTGAAGCGTTTAATGGCAATGATGGTTGTCGACGTGACGCCTCCTTCATACGTGATCTTCATCGTCGCGGGTTGCTGTTTCGACGCGTCGCTTTTGTAACGGGTTGCACGCCGTATAGGCGAGAGCACCAATTAAAAGGGGGAACGTCAGCACTTGGCTGTTTTTTTTTCTTTTTTTTTTTTTAATATCGCGCCACTCTTTAACCGCTCTCTGGTCGATTCACGAAAAAAAAACACATTCTTCTTGAATTCCAATCGCGACATCGTCG